TTCATAATACTTTCTCCTTGGCACAGACAAGTGCATTGATCCATTTGGCTGCCCAAAGGTTTCACACCTTGAAATCTCCAAAGAACAACAACAAACCAAACGAATCCAAGGCCTAATGCACTGTCAATGCAAATTGATGCAAATCTCCTCATGTCTATACTTGTTCATGCAGGTTAAGAATACTGAATGAGAAGGAAACTAAAGTCCTTAGTGGGGAGTTAAGGGGAAATAGGGGACAACAAGTGAAGGTGTGTTAATTTCATGTATTAATTTTATGAATTTATATCCAAGGCAATTTATTCCCACGGTAGGACAATTGTAGAGATGGAAAAGAATCTATAAATGATCTACATGGGATATATGATCTGTTCAGCATTCAGTGATCAAATCTCTGTTTTGTACATGTTCTATAGATAATTAGGTTCTTCTTGTTATGAAATACTAGAGTTTGATACTAAAATTTGACAGTCTTTTTTTTAAAAAAAACAAAGTTACATTTTGAAGTGGTGTGAATGAACTATTGTTACCTATAATGTACATACTTGAGTATATCATCCCTTCTATTGTCTCTGGCTAGAKAGGTTTTTTGTGGTGTATGTGTGTGAGGGGGAGGACTTGGAAGGTGGGGGGGGGGCTTCAGCAATTTAGAAAATGTGCTCATAACAGAACCAGTTTTCTCATTGTATATATGGGCCATTGTGCATATAATATTAACAATAATGATAATAATAATGATAATAATAATAAGCTTTATTTATACCCCACCACCATCTCCCCAAGGGGACTCGGGGCRGCTTACATGAGGCCAAGCCCAACAACACATCAGTAAAACAACAAAGCAATAAGCAAATAAAACAATACAATTAATATAACTCACATATAGACAATAACACACAAACATTTAAAAACCTGTGGCCGRGCCAGATGTAATAGTTTAAAATTTTAAAAATAAACACTGGGCATGAACATAGGTAGGATGTATCTAAGCAGGCGGGTTTTAAAGGGAATGTAGGGAGAGCAACCCAACGGGTAGATAAAGTACTTCTAAGGACATTTTGCAGGGATTTGTTTCTTTTATTCAGGGAAGACACACTGGAACAGCCATGTTTTCAGGCTCCTCCTAAAGACTGCTAATGTGGGGGCTTTCCTGATACCCTTGGGAAGTGAGTTCCAGAGTCAGGGGGGCCACCATAGAGAAGGCCTTCTCCCTTGCCCCCACTAATCGTGCCTGCGAAGGGGATGGGAGCAAGAGCAGGGCCTCTCCAGATGATCGAAGAAATCACGTGGGTTTTCTGGTTTTCTGTTCGTAACTTAGGCAATGTGAAGTGATGAGTAGGCAATACTGGATGGAACCAACCAAGACATGTTGATGAAAGGATATAACTTAGAGCAGTGGTTCTCAACCTTTACTCCTCCAGGAGTTTGAAACTTCAACGTCCAAAAGTCCTAGAAACACCTTGGCCTATTGTTGGCAATTTTGGCAGCTGAAGTCCAAATCAGCTGGAGGACTAAAGTTTGGAAACCACTAACTTAGAAACTTGTCTCCAAAAGGGCTAAGGCTGAGTCAGGGAGAAACTCAGTAGGAAAAAGATATTTGAATAAGGTTTTTAGGAGATGGGAATTTGTGAGTTCATTTTTAACTGATCTGTAATGTGTAAAAGCCCATATTCTACATCACCTCATAGTTATGCACATTTAACTAAGTAACATCCCCTGGCCTGATTCCCACCCCAGTGTACCTTACTGGGCATCAAATGCTATAGTCAAAGAAGCTCTAATTCGCTGGCAATCACGGTGTGGGTAGATGACACTTTCTCCCACTGGCATGTGAGGCTGTGTACAGCCTCACTCATTGGTTAGAGCATGTGAAAACATCCCTTTGTACTATAATTTCCAGCAAAATTGAGTTTCTTAGCTCAGTGTGGCTGCTGCCTAATAAAATAGTTTTGAGAGGGTGTTTTCAGGGGGTTGAGAAAGGTGGGGTACAAATATTTGAAATAAATAAAAATTACAATAATGGCAATCATGACTCTCTCAAGATAGTGATTACAGAAGTTATAGATGTGTACACATCTGTAACTGCAATATAGAACACCAATTTAACTCTTTACTGGTTTTGTTTGCTACTATGGTATCGAATTCAAGATCTTAAAAGGAAAACCAGTCACACATTGCCACATTGAACCCATTGATCAATACAATCCAATACATGTCACTTTGAGGCCTGAGGAATTGTGAGTGCAAAAGGGCAAGGTGAGTGAAAGGAGCCCTAGGACTGGAGGTGCAAGGCCCACCTGGATAGTATTCCATAGTTAATTTACAAACATCCATGTCTACATTCTCTTACATGTGTGGCTATGCAAGTTTGGATATGACATAATCTACATACACACAATATCTGCACAGGCCATCTTCAATAGAAATGTAATTCTCACAATGGAGAAAATCAGCTTATGCTTCCCTACTAGGCAGCTGTTAAAATGTAAAAAAGAAATTAAAGTAAACATGCTTCAATAATGCATGTAGAGTGAAACTGTTAAAAAGTAAATACTCAAAACTTTCTGTCTGGATGGATGATTCTATCAATTTTGGCTGGAAATCTTCTGGTGTGCTAGACTAGTTGTTGCACTCCTTCCAGAGTGGGCAGGGATGGTGAGAGAAATCAGTCTAAACTTGTCAACTCTGAGCTGTCAGTGCATCATTTCCTTCATCACTGCTGTTTCTGTCAATTTCTCCTTTCTGCCATCACTGTCTACTTTACCAAAAATATTCTAACCTCTTTTATCTTCTTGGTCATTAAAAAATTGCAAACATATGTTGAAATTTGAAAGTTATGAAATATTCTTTAAAAAACCAAGGTGAAAGTTCTGGAAGCAACCTCTGAATATGTATAGAGTATCCCTCTCCTTGCTGAGGAATTACAGTTCCAAACATATTTAGCCGCTTATATCCTGTTAACATATGATTCCACTTTATCGGACTATTCCACTAGCATAGTGTATTTGTCCTGGTTAGGTAGTACAATGAAAGAAGACTGGCAATTTATTTATTTATTTATTTACAGCATTTATATTCCGCCCTTCTCACCCCGCAGGGGACTCAGGGCGGATTACAGTGTACACATATATGGCAAACATTCAATGCCAATTTTGACAAACAACATATACAGACATACACAGAGGCTATTTAACTTTTTCTGGCTGCCAGGGGAGCCATTGCCTTCATCGTCCATCTGCGACACTGATGAAGTACTTCCACATTCCCCGCATGCTTTTTTGCTGGAGTGCTTTGCTGGAGTCTTTTTTATGGCCTCATAAATTAGTTAATTCATGGTCATTTTCAGGAAAGGAAGGCAGATGACTCCTTCTGTGGAAGTCCACAAAGCTAAAAGTGCTTGTCTGTTTTAAAAGACAGGGAGTTTTGCAAGTCAACTTCCTCTATTCATTTTTAGCACTGACAATCTCCACCCTCAGAAGGCCCATTTTGGTGGAATACACTGCTCGGAGCCAGCAGATTTATTTTCCCAAAAATTGCAATAAAGAAATGGGCTTCTTTCCTTTGTAATGCCATTCCTAACATCTTTCTACTTCTACTATCTCTATGCAGCCTATATTGCTATACTTCAGGAATGGGAACAGTCAGAGTTTTGAGGGTTGCATTGGACCTTGATGCGACCTATGACATCAGACAGGCTTACTTTTGGCAACATGCACCAAATCTATAGTTTCTTGATGGTGTCCGTCGGCTCCCATTCCACGACGATGAACTACTTCTGGCAGGGCTCCATTCTAAAACTATATAAGATCCAGTATATTTCACAGTGGTGGCAACATGGGAGGCTTCTTGTGTTGCTTTTGAACAGAGGGGGGGGGGGAGCCGGGCAAGCAAAGCTTCCCTCGTGGGATGGGGCAACCAGTGAGTCAGCCGATATGGGGTATGGGGCGATGGGCTACCCATGCAATAGGGCTACCCGCAATTCTGGCGGCTCGTCTGATGAGGTCATGAAAAAGATCCAATTTCTGTAAAAAAAATAATAAACACTATCTTGGGGGGGGGGCAGTAAAGGCAATTTTCACAACAGGAAGTCACTGTGTTCATCTCCTTTTTATAAAAATTGCTTCTCTTGGGCCTAAAATGACATGAGGAGTCTCAAAATATGTTGAAAATGCCCTCTAAACATTGGGGGACATTACTGTTACATTTTCTATCAGCCCTACACAACATAAGCAATGATGAGGGATTAAAAGACATAAAATCTCTGGAAGGCCATATTTCAACTTGTTAAAGTTTTCTAGTTTCTTGTTAAAGTTTTCAGAAAATATATAAAATGGTTTACATTAATGCCAGATAATACAAAATCATCAAATTTTGTTTCACCTTGAATCAAGTCCACTGATCACTATTTCAGCTTCTAATAACACAAAACCTTTCATAGAGGCTCTTTATTTCACAAGCTCTTGTAATGAAGCAAACTGGAAAGAATGGGAAGATGAGTATACTATTCGTAATCTGATCTGCTTTTTACCAATGCATTATTTCTATTTTCATTAAATACAGCTAGAAACTCAGATTGGCATCTGAAATTACAATGAGTACAGAAAAGAGTGATATAAATAGGTGTTGCTGAGAGAAGATTTTGTGTTGCTTTTCACCTGGTTTTTGTTCTCTTTATCGAAGTTCAGAATAAAACAGGATATATTATTCTGCCTAGACACTGGAGAGAAGCAAAGCCTGCCCACCTTACTTTTTGGTATAAGTTTTGGCTCTCCTTTCAATTCATTCTGTCCACTACAAGCAATTTTTTTTCCTGAAGACTTTTATTTTCAAACTAAACATAGCACTGAGAAGAAAACAATTGATTTCCATTTTTATTCCAGAATGTGGAGACATAAGAAATATAGAGATTTTAAGAAAATAGATTAAGGGCAATGTGTTTCACTGGAAATGTTGTCTGTTGCTGAAAGTAATATTGCACTTTTTGTTGAACTGTCTCCCATCAGGTGTTTGCCGAACTATTGTGAACATGGAGGAAAATGTTCCCAGTCTTGGATGACATTCCACTGTGATTGCAGTGAAACTGGTTATGCGGGATCAACATGCCATAATTGTAAGTGGATTATATTGTGAACAGATGAAATGGAAAAACACTGACAGAGATGTGGAAACGAATGGTGCAATTAAGAGTAGTTAATTTATCACTACCTTATATGAATTTAGGTTTTATAAGAATTAACTTCAGGGAATTAAAACTTGTGAAAGCCCACAGTTCAATAGCAAAGCATATGTTTTACATACAAAAGGTTCCAAGTTCAATGCTTTTGCTAGGAGTGTCCCAAACTTAAACTCCTCCATAAAACTCTGGAAATCTGTTTTCAGTCAGTATTGATACTAATGGAATTGATCGTCTGACAGTGTTCCTCAGTCCTTAACCAGTTTGTTTAATATTTATTTGTTACACTTGTACCCCCATTTTTTCTCAGAGTGGGATCTATCAGTTCATTGGGGCTTATTCTCAAATGTGAAAGCAAAGGACATCTCATCATCCCCGAGTACACTTACCTTAGTTGCAGCAGATAGTATCTTCACAACTCTTCTGCATAAATACAGATTATTTTGTTATTGTTTACTTTGAAGTATTTCTAACATGGTGAGCCTAAGGTAGGCCTGCACTATCTCCGGCCCTCCAGATGTTTGGACCGGCACCTCCCTGATGTCCTAACCAGTTTATCCAATGAGCAGGAGTTCTGGGAGCTAAGTCCAAAACACCCAGAGGGCCATACACTGTGCAGGCATACCCTAAGGTAAATATCATGTGGTTTACTTGGCATGTTTTGTTCATAGGGCTTTGCTTTTACCTTTTTCTGAGACTGAGAGAGTGGATTTCCAAGGGGTTTCCATACCTAAGCAGGGATTCAAGCCCAATGCTAAAAATATTATACCACTTTGGTTTGCAAGTACAGATTATTTGGAGGTATAGTATGATCCCCCATACTCACAAGACTTCCAAAAGTCCAAGAAACCCTCAAGAACAGCTTCCAACATGATAACAGTCAAACATTCAATGCCTATATGAACAAAGGATACAGATTTAAACAGAAAACAATACAAGACATTGTGCAGTGAATTAAAATAAACAAGTGCATCAAATAGTTATCATATAAAACAATTAAAAACCATCAGAGGAAAAATATTAGGGTGTTTCAGACCTGATATTTCAAATGGCAATGCAATTTTATTTTATTAGAAACAGGTTTGTTTCAAAGTAGCACTTTTAAAGTTAAGATCACTGCAATTCAATTTTTTTCTCCTACCTTTCCTTTTATGTGATTCTCCTTTTGGCAAAGTTATGTATATCTGTGGGAGAAGAGGGAGAAAAATTGGTTTCAAAGTACTAGGAAGAGCTCACTGCTGCTCTGCTAATCTGCTGGAAGTTGAAACTGAGTTTTTTTGGCTTTATTGCCTCCCTGGGTCTGTGAAGCATTCTTTCTCTCTTTGTTTTCCTTAACAATTTTGTTGGATCTATTTTCCGAGCATGCGAAAGCTCTACAAAACACTCAAGGAAGAGCCAAACTACACAGACATATAAATTAGTTCATATAAATAGCAAGGTCTGTTTTCACCCACATGAGAAATACTAGCTGAGTTACCTGACAAGGAGATTAACTACACCTTTAAGAGTTGCTGGTTGGTTTTAGTGTGAGTGTTTGTTGCTTTTGGTCCATTTGACCAGACGCACTGATGGATTTAATAATACAATATTAAATTAGATATATCATAAAATCATAGGATTAAAAGGTTGAAGGAGCCACTGCTCAATATAGGATCTTCAACTAAAGCATTCCCAGCATGTAGCCTCTTTTTAAATATATCCAGAGGAGATCTTACTACCTCTCTAAACAATGGATTTCATTACTGACCCATGATTACTTCAAGTACTCCCTTCTAATGTTCGATCACGATCTACCTTTCTGTACCTAAAAACCATTACACCTACCCCCTGGGACAGCAGATAACAAATATATCCTTTCCTCTCTGTGATTACCCTTGAAGTATTTAAAAAGCACAATTATGCCACTCCTCAGTCTCCTTTTTACCAAAGTGAACTTCTCCAGCTCCTTCAATCTCTTCTCAGATGTTTTGTTTTCTATACCTCTTGTCACTGTGATTGTCCTTCTTTGAACTCAGTCCACCTTGTCTATATCCTTCTTAAAATGAAGTGTCCATAACTAAACACAGTGCTCCAGAGTAGATAGAGAGTGAGATCAGAACATAGTAGGATACAGATTGAGGCAAATTTTGACACTAGCAATAAGCCTTCAGAGGATTGTATGAGCTGATAGAGATCTATGAAGTGTGAAATCACTATGCTTGCTTATCTAAGGTCAGTTCCCTGAAGTCAATAGTTTCCTCTAGTGGTCTTTGAGGATGATGTTATTGGTGGGCATCCATCTGTAGGAAAATGGCAGGACATTTATTTATTTATTTATTTATCTTATATACTGCTGTTCTCAGCCCGAAGGCGACTCACAGCGGTTCACAACAAATAAGAACAGCAAAAATTCAGTGCTACAGTGTAAAACAGTTAACAACCTAACATATTACACAATTAATAAACAATTACTACAATAACCACTATTCACTATCGTCTCATCATCAAAAACATGATCCAGATTCGTCATCCATTATTCCGTTCCAATGTTCATTAACCAATCATTGCACTAATTATTCGAACGCCTGCTCAAACAGCCAGGTCTTCACTTTCCTGCGGAATACCATTAGAGATGGTGCTAGTCTAATGTCCGTAGGAAGGGCGTTCCACAGCCGAGGAGCCACCACCGAGAAGGCCCTATCTCTCGTCCCCGCCAGCCGTGCTTGAGAAGCAGGTGGGATCGAGAGCAGGGCCTCCCCGGAAGATCTCAAAGTCCTGGTGGGTTCATAGGCAGAGATGCGGTCGGATAGGTAGCTTGGGCCACTGGAACCGTTTAGGGCTTTAAAGGCCAACGCCAGCACTTTGAATTCAGCCCGGTAGCAGATCGGTAGCCAGTGGAGTTGGCGCAACAGGGGGGTTGTATGCTCCCTGCGCTCCGCTCCTGTTAAAATCATGTCTGCCGAGCGTTGGACTAGTTGGAGCTTCCGAGCCATCTTCCAAGGCAACCCCACGTAGAGAGCATTGCATTTTATGTTGTTCCTTGAGCCCTCCACAAGGAAGGAAATTGATGTGTTGGGAGGTGTGCAGCAGAGGAAAGATGGGAATTTTTTTTTCAGATTTTGGTCATTGTATTGAAAACGTATATTACAGTGATGTGACTTGGACTTACACCACCATCATTAAATAACAGGTTGTGACATATCATTTTCTGTTGTACTTTCATATTATTTTGCTATTTTTCCTTTCAATAAAAAATGAAGCCTAACACATATTGCCCTCTTGTTGCTTAAACTATATTTTAGTTTCCCACATGAGTGATAGTAAGGTCCAATGTCATTAGGTATAAGGCCTGAGAAGGTTTTTAGTACATTCTGTTGAGTCACATTTTCTCATCAAGAGTAAGAAAAATGCAGTTATTTTCACCCTTACAAATGCACACCTGAATTTTAGAATCTAGTCATAGAGCTGGCAGAGTCTCTTCATCTGTCACCCAGGCTCCACTGAAGAAAATGATGATTCACTCAAACAACTTTTTGCAAGACTGTATGTAGCAGAAATGGGTAATGTATGTCTCTCTAGATCAGGCATGAGCAAACTTCGACCTTCCAGGTGTTTTGGACTTCTACTCCCACAATTCCTAACAGCATACTACCTGTTAAGAATTGTGGGAGTTGAACTCCAAAACACCTGGAGGGCTGAAGTTTGCCCATGCCTGCTCTGGATGCAATAGAACTGTACCCCCATTTCTTCTTACCATTGAGTATCCTGGACAGAACTATGGCAGTTGCTTCCCAATTGCTGGAAGGCGGGAACGCTTCAAATTGTCCACCCTCGTACCAGAGTTACAAACATGCGACTTGCATACTGCTCCTAAATAAATAAATAAATAAAATAATATGTTAAGGTATACTTCTGTCCAATTTGCATTTAAAGTAGAGCTTCATAAAATGTTTTTTTAAAGTTTTGATTATTATGATTTGGGGTTGGAACCACTGTGAGATTTGTATTGCTGTCTGTATCCTCATGAGAAAGATTTAATCTCTCTTCCTGTCCCTGAGACAATAGGAAGTGAGAAGAAATCTACCCATAGGAATAGAATTCACTCATGTAAGAGTTTTCATGGCAAAAACATGTCACCACTAAAGCTTTATTACTAATCCTTGTTTCTATGACAACCTAAATTTTTCAAAATCCAATTGCCACAAGGACAGAAAGTGAGGTTTGTGTGTGTGTCAGGAGCCTGCAAATTGCTTCTGGTGTAAAAAAATTTGGCTGTCTGCAAGGACATTGCCCAGGGGATGCTTGCATGTTTGATGTTTTACCATCCTCGTGGGAGCTGGAGCTGACAGAGGAAGCTCAACCTGCTCTCTCTGGATCTGAACTGCTGACCTGTCAGTCAGTAGTTCTGCTGGCACAAGGATTTAACCAAGTGCTTCCTTACCTTTGGGTCCCCAGATGTTTTGGCCTTCAACTCCCAGAAATCCTATAACCTGTTAAACCGGTTGGGATTTCTGGGAGTTGTAGGCCAAAACACCTGGGGACCCACAGGTTGAGAACCATTGGTTTAACCCATTGCACCAGTGGGGAAAGGGAGGTGAAATCATCTGAACAGAGGTATAGAGAGCAAAGCAAACATTGCAGGGGTGTTAACCCTTTGCTATGCTATCCAAAACTAAAACAAATGGCTGGAGTTACACTTAGAAATGTACCCATTCTTGTTTGTACTCACATACAAATTCAACTTAAGAACAAATTCAACTTACAGTATATTTTGGCGTATAAGACTACTTTTTAACCCAAGAAAATCTTCTCAAAAGTCAGGGGTCATCTTATACGTGGGTGTAGTCTTATGCATGGGAGTTGTCTTAACTCTATATTTTAACTGGAAAAGTTGGGGGTCGTCTTATACACCCAGTCGTCTTATATGCCGGAATATACGGGTAAGTACTTCAACTCCC